GATAAAGTTTTGGCTTAAAATACATTTTAATCTATTTATTTTAATCAATTCATGGCGGAGGGGTACATGAAGGGCATTATAAGGCAAAATAGCCCCAAAAGAAAACTTTTTTTCAGATTTATCATATGAACATTACATATAAACACTCAGAAGATATGTGTAGGTTCACTGTTGGCTTTGTATAATAAATAAAATGGCTATATTTGTGTTGTAGACACTGTGACCCCTGGTTTCTATCAGCACCACTGTAAAGAAATCAGAGTCTGTAAGTTTCTCTACAGTGAACCACTTCACACCAAACCACTCTGAATGACTCCGTTTACATTAAAAGGACTGGATTATTTAGAAGCTTTGGAAAATTGGTGGAGTTCTCCTTTAAGACAAATAAGCAGCACACAACAAAACACACTACCTGAAGGACAATAAAGACAGTGAATGCTAACCTTTCAAGTCCAGTTCACACCAAACCAGACTTCCACACTCTTCCTCCTGCAGTACACCAACCATCATAGGGGATCTCCAGATCCGTCACGTGCAGCCTTTTAAACTACAAACCCTGCCCACAAACTGCCCACAAAAGTTTGTAATGTCAATCATGCAAGATAAATAAATGAATCACCACACACATTGTACCAGGCTTCACATGCAATGAAGCTGAAGCTGCACTGAGAAGATGAGGAGCCAAAACTGCTCTTCTAACCAGCTCACCACATAGCAAATGTACTGAAAACAAAACATTGTGACTTTCTACTGTATTTATATTTATTTGCATTCATTCTAAAGTTACCTGGTACTTTTAAATGCAAAATCAACAACTCACTACCAAGAATAACGTTATATAATGACTTTGTTATCCGTGTGCCGCAGTTTGCATGCACACGGTTACAACTTGGGAAAAAAAGCTATTTTACGCTGCTCACATCTTGGAAATGTAACCTAGCACGTCCCATAAAATTACATTCAACCTTTGCGCTGTTCTCTGAAAGGTTGCACTAAAACCTCCAGCCTATGTTTTAATCCCAAACATTTTGGTGACCCTTTCTTAACCCACAGCGATCCACATAAGGGTCGCAACCCTCCGTTTGAACTCCAGTGCTGTAAATCACTTTTTTACTAGAGAGCGCTGCTGTCCGCTGCTCCGTGGAGGCCTGCGCCTAGTTTGGACTTTTTTTTTACTCACTCCACACACCATAATCCTGAACCTCATAAAAACTGGAGCTCTTCACCATACAGCGCTACATGCTTTAAACACGCATAATTACTGGCAGAGCTAAAAGCGCAGGCCCTGCTATTACTGCACATAGTTAGCACCAGCAGTAAATATTAGACACAGGGGCTTTTTACCCACTTTTAACACACCAGGAACCTGAAAGCTGTAAAAAAAAACACTGGAACATCTTCATAAAAAGTCATGTCTTTGAGGGAGAGGCTAGCTAGCCCAAAAGACGTGATATTCACGCGTGAGCTAAAGAACAAAAAGGCCTGTAAGACCCAACAGAGACTACCTTGACAACATGATCAAATGTGTGTTCAGTTAAAACATCAGGTTAACCAAAGGAAAGATGAAATAACCCTGCTAGACAAGTGGGGTGGAGGACTTTCACCCTTTGCTAATGCCACGCTAGAGGGGAGGCCTCATGTCTAAGCAATATAAACAACAGGCCTCTTCGTATCAAACAACACTCCGAGGACTTCACGTGTGAAATTCCACACGACCGTACGTTAACACTGAAGGGCACTCCTTCCTATCAGTGTAAAGGGTCCCATCCTTTAGCATTTATGGCATGTAAAACCTGTAAAACGTGGCTGTGCTTTCCTTTCATGCATTTCAGGCGTGAGGTTTAGCTATCAGCGCTAACACCCACAGCAAGTGCACTGATATATTCAGTGCCATTAGATTCATATGCTGGAAAGTCACTTTGATTTGTCCCACGCTTTCGGTAAACGGGTTTTGCGCGGCAGATCGATTACCACCCCAAGAACCTTACAGAGAGTAGACATGCTGATATCGGGCCAAACGTGTCATATTACCAGGCCTCCATCCTGATTGGGCAACACAAACATCCTATTGGCCCTATTGCACAGTTTAACCTGCATAAACCCTGGCAGAGCTAAAAGTGGTTTCGGCATACCAAAAGGCAGCGGTTATAAAGCTACACAGTGCCATTCATCCCCGCTATTATTCCACATGTACCAGCAGCAAACATGAGACACCTCATCCCGCTATCAGTTTCCTCTAGTTGAGGATTCTGAGAGCTGGCGCCGGTGCCAGGTTTAACGCCCTGTGAGCAAAGATCCAGCCCCGGCATGCCGATCCCCACCACCAGCATGAGGCGCAGATGAATCAACTCAAAACTAGTCTGAAACGGCTTTGTCTCAGAGCTCGTCCTCCAGGCATTTTCCTCCACTATTCGTGTGAGAATTTACGATGGGGGGAGAGAAAGGAGAAGACTGACACAGGTTAAGAATGCCTCCTATGCAACGGCACGCCCGCATCTCGCCAAGAGCCCACATATCGTAAATGCCTGAAAAGGACAAAATTTTACTAATTCATTCGTTCCAGAGTACAAGGCCTCTGATTCACCACAGAAAGAGCATCGAATGTTATACAGAATGCTGATAGAGTCAGAGAGAGTTAATGGAAGAGCTCATTTTCATCTCTAGCGCTCTTTGCATTGGAATCCAGTGTGTGGGTTGAGTGAATGAACAGTTCGGTTGTAATGTAGCTTTATGAACAGTTCTTATTCATACATACGTACATATGGTACTAGCTACTAATACTTGCGTCAAAATTCGAACAAAGATATTTATATGTAGAGTCGTATGCAAAACTTTAGGGATGTCAAATGAGAATTTTTAATGTAGGTGAAAATAAGTTAACACATCCTCCACAGAAAACACAAATTTTAATGCACAATTACTGTTTATTTGCTGAATTTAACACACATTTTATATGTTGTTCTTAAATGTTTCCAGTATGTTAAACTCAGCAATTAAACAGAAATTGTGCACTAAATTTACAGAAAAACACTATATTAAAATTTTCCCTTTAGAGGATGTGTTGACTGCGGGGGGATGGGTTCGACTCTATTTGGGGGGCACACCGCTCACCTTGCAAATTTTGACCCCACTTTTATTGGTTCTATTTGTTGCTTGTTTACACAAATAAAAATTGGATACAGTATCCATGTTTAATGTGTCAAAATCAGATATGCTAGAAATGGTCTGTAATAGAATGCTTTATCATCCTGTGGTGGGGCTTCAGCGGCTACTGGGAAATGCTGAGTTGGCTTTAAATACCAGCCGCAGTAACAGCACCACTTGCCGCGCCGCAACCATCACTGTAACTTTTACACCTGCGGTAATGCGCGTCCTGTGCAAAAATACACTGTCACCACAACATGCAACCGTTTGGTACTTGGTAACTAGTTTTCAGCTTGAATAAAGACGAGGTGTGATTCTTTTAGTAGACACTGTGGTTCATTTATGTATTTGAGGAATGGCCTAATTTTCCATAAAACCAAAAAAGCCTTTTGCTATTAAACTGGTGCTGTAATTAAAGCACAGCATACGTTTCATTTACATATTAGACTGTCTGTTTTCAATTGTTGAGTAAATAAATAACTTTGTAGCTTTATAACTACATAAATCTTACCCCCAGGTCCCCTTGGCACAAAGGTACCCTGTCAAAACACTCCTACACCCGTGTGTCATTCATCTCCAGTATGGTACCATTCAATTAACCAAGCCAATTGTCATTTTGTCTAACATTTTCCTTGCATTTAGCATCAAAATCCATCAATAAGTCTTAAAAAAGATGGTTCTTCAAGGGTTCTTTAGTAAAGGCAATGGTTCTATTTAGAACTATAAGTAACATTTCATGCTTAAATGGTTCTTTGCATGGTGAAATGGTTCTTCAGGTAGATGGAGCACATGTTGTATACAGTTTTATGTTGAATATTTTTGAAAATGGTTCTGTATAGCCCCAAAAGTTTGCTTCTTTTGTTACGAGATCAAGCTTATAACAATAGAAGAACCCTTTTTGGTGCTATATAGAACTATAAGGTTCTATATAACGCATTCCATCTCAAGAGCAACCATTTAAGGGTGAAAACGAACCATCGCTTTCACCAAAGAACACATTAAAACACATTAAAAAAATGATAAAAGTGTCTTCCTCTGTCTCTGCATATGAATCTTCCCTTGAATGAGTTAGTGTCTTTCTCTCTCCATCTCTCTCTCTCTTTATCCTAACATTCATATGAATGTCTAAGAAGCTGCAGGCTTGTGTGGGGTGGGAGTAAAACCAGGACCCTCCAAGCCATCTTGGTTCCCCTTAACAATAAAGTGTGAGGGGGAATCTGAGGGAATAAAATGCTCCCCTTTCTCCTCGCTCTCTCCCACAATGGGCCAACCGTGAAAATCGCCAGTTGTGGTTAAAAAAAGGAAACCATCTCGCTGCGGAGTCCTTTACGGGTTTCTGAGGGCCTCCAACTTGGCGCCAAAAGTTTATAGACACAATTCTGCTAGCTTAGCTGGTTCCTCAGAGAGAAAAGCAGCAAAAAAAACGGTTGATGAGCACTTTGCTATGATCTCTGGTTTACAGAATGTTGTTTGGTTTTTCTTTAAAGGTCCTAGAGCCTGTTCCTCTGCGATTTGGGGTTTAATCAGCGTGTCACTTTCAGCTTTCTTATGCAAAGGAGATGTCTTTTGAAGGCGGATCTGTTTTGGCAGGTTAGCTCAGGACGCTAGCAGGCACGGACTGTTTTTTTTTTCCCCACCCGTTTTACGACAGGCCCCGCCTCGCAATGCAAGGATGTGTTAGAACGCGGGGAGGCTGCTAGCCAATCGCGGCGCAGGATGGGCCGCTTCTGTCCAATCCTAACACAGGAAGGCGGGTGTTAGAGGGAATTAGCCAATCGTAGCGCAGGACGCGGAAGCTGGTAACCAATCCCAGCGCATGAAGGTGGGAGCCGTCGGAATATGGGTGGAGGAAAAAAAATAACGCCGCACGGCTATGAAGAACTCAGACGGAGCCCAAAAGTCCCCGGGAATCAGTCAGAGTGAGTGAGAGAAAGTAGTTCCTCGGACTTGCGGTTCACGAAGGATACCTGCGTTTTCTGGAGAGGTTGGAAGTCTGTTTTTACTGTGTGAGAAGTTATCGTGTGAGCACGGAGTGGAAAAGTAACGTGAGGTTTACTTTATTTCAGAAGGAAGGATGGGACTGTCTCGCAGGAGCGAAGCGCGTTCACGTTTGAAGGAGCCCTGGATTTCTGGATTTTGACTGGTAAAAATAAACTACACGAGTTATCAGTGTCGTTTTTGGTGGACGAGCTTTCCCCTCGTGTCATGGTTTCCTGGAAATGATTGGATTTCTGTTTTTCAATATCAAAGATGCTTTGACATTTTCTCCAAGAAGGACTAACTTAACTTCTCCCTCAACTCAAGGAATTTCTGTTACTGCAGTTGACTGCAAGTGAGTCGACCTGTTTTCAGCGTGAGTAAATTTGCACTTCAGCAAACTTAACGAACCTGTCTTACTGAACTGAACAGCTGAAACAAATATGTTCTATTCAAATATCTGCATTTGAAAGTCAAAGACACTTGCCTTGTTTGTCCCACCATTGCTGTGCTACATGAGTTAACCCGGAGGGGCAGAAATGATGATCACCTCCGCTTTCGAACGGAGTGGACTCCGTGGCTTCCTGCTGCTTTGTGTGGCCGGGTTAAGTTCTGCCATCAGCTCCATCGACCCGGACCGGCCGGGCGAAGGCAGATGCCAGGAAATCGCCATCCCTCTCTGCAAGGACATTGGCTACAACCTGACAGTTATGCCCAACCTGATGGGGCACGAGGATCAGGGAGAGGCTGCCATTAAGCTTCATGAGTTTGCCCCGCTCATCGAGTTTGGCTGCCACAGCCACCTCAGGTTTTTCCTGTGCTCACTCTACGCCCCCATGTGCACGGAGCAGGTGTCCACACCCATCCCAGCCTGCCGGGTGATGTGCGAGCAGGCCAGACAGAAGTGCTCCCCCATCATGGAGCAGTTTAACTTCCACTGGCCCGACTCACTGGACTGCTCCAGGCTGCCCAATAAGAACGACCCCAACTTCCTGTGCATGGAGGCCCCCAACAACGGCAGCGACGACCCGTCTAAAGGGTCTCACACCCAGCCTCCGGACTCTCGCCCTCCTCGCCCTGGGAACAGCCAGGAACTCCCTGTTAAGGAGAGGATGGGTAAGGACACTTGTGGAAATCCCTGGGAAGTTCCACTACGTGCAGAAGAGCGAGTCTTGCGCCCCAAAGTGTTACCCCAAAGTGGACGTGTACTGGAGCCAGGCGGACAAGCGCTTCTCCCTGGTCTGGATGGCTGTCTGGTCCATCCTTTGCTTCGTCTCCAGCGCCTTCACCGTCTTGACCTTCCTTATCGACCCGCAGCGCTTCAAGTACCCCGAACGGCCCATCATCTTCCTCTCCATGTCCTACTGCGTCTACTCCGTGGGCTACCTCATCCGGCTTTTCGTCGGAGCCGAGAACGTGGCCTGCGACCGTGACAGCGGCGTCCAGTATATCATCCAGGAGGGCCTGGAGAGCACGGGGTGCACCATAGTCTTCCTCATCCTCTACTACTTCGGCATGGCCAGCTCCCTCTGGTGGGTGATCCTGACCCTCACCTGGTTCCTTGCCGCCGGGAAGAAGTGGGGCCACGAGGCCATCGAAGCCAACAGCAGCTATTTCCATCTGGCTGCTTGGGCCATCCCAGCCATCAAAACCATCCTCATCCTGGTCATGAGGAAGGTGGCGGGGGACGAGCTAACGGGCGTCTGCTATGTCGGAAGCATGGACGTCAAGGCCTTGACCGGTTTCGTCCTGATCCCGCTGTCCTGCTACCTCATCATCGGCACGTCCTTCCTGCTCTCCGGCTTCGTGGCTCTCTTCCACATCCGCAAGGTCATGAAGACCGAGGGCGAGAACACGGACAAGCTGGAGAAGCTGATGGTGCGTATCGGGGTGTTCTCCGTCCTCTACACTGTGCCCGCAACCTGCGTCATTGCGTGCTACTTTTATGAGCGCCTCAACATGGACTACTGGAAGGTTCTGGCCGGAGAGCAGCGCTGCTTGGAAGGAGGCGGTGGAGAAGAATGCATCATGAAGAACTCAATCCCGGCCGTGGAGATCTTCATGGTGAAGATCTTCATGCTGCTGGTGGTGGGAATTACCAGCGGCATGTGGATCTGGACCTCCAAGACCCTGCAGTCCTGGCAGAACGTCTTCAGCCGCAAGCTAAGGAAGAGGACGAGGAGGAAGGCCGCGTGCGTGTTCACGGGTAGCGGGCCTTACCTGAAGCCACATCCCGCACTAAAAGGACACAAAACTAAGTACGAACCCACTGGAGCTCCTGCTACATGCGTATAAGGATGCGTATGTGGAGCGCCATTGAACTCCAGAGAGTTCTGTTTACTTTGAAAACCGGTTCTTGATAGAGTTTGCGAGAGAAAGAGGGAAAGTGGCATCGCAAGACACTGGGCACTGAGTTCACATTTATCTTATGCAAACCCCAGTTGTTCCAAAAGAACAGCAACAACAACAAAAAAGCTGCAGTGTCCTGAGTTGTGAGATTTCTGGTTTGAGTTTCTCATAATGATGTGTGCAAGTACCACAGCTCAGCCACTGTTTAGTCTGTTGCGCCTTCTGGTACTACTTATCCACTTACGGAACTTCACGGAGTTTGTAAAGGGTTTGTTTTTTGTTTTGTTTTTTTGCGAAAACAAAGAAAAACGGGAGCGAGTCCCTCTTTGCGTCACTGGGAATGCCTGTATCATGTGCAATAGATGTTTCCCTCAGTGACGGAGAGAAAAAGACTCTTAGTACTGTAGGGGCTGATTAAAGACACTAAAAGGACCCCGCAGACAATGGGTGTGAATGAGCCGGAGGGGGGGCGGCAGTCCTCGGCTGCATGTCACTGTGGCTTTTCTATGGAAATGAAGGCCGTGTCATACACTGCTGCATTGACATTGGAGAGCAGCTGTTGGCTGAGGCTTCAGCCAGAGAATGAACTGGCCATTGTGAAGGCCCTCCATGGCGTAAAAGCAAATCTACAAGCACTAAATATTGCCGAAAAAGACAGAGGCCTTTTGATGGGGCGTTTTGTACAGCGGCTTCTTAGCCCCCCCGGTTTGTTTTGTTATGCTGAGCTCTTTTTTCTTTTGTAGCACAAAGATACCTTTGTGTATATTTCTAAAAAAAAAAAGTTCATATTTTGTAAGAGTTAATAAAAACTTAGTTTAAAATGTTTGGAAGATACAGCTGCACACCACAGTGGCGTTTCATTCTCTGCGTTCAGCGCGCATCAGTGCTTCTTTCAGATATGCAATTGAAATTTTGGGAATACTTTATTTTGATGATCTACTGGAGAAGCTTTGCAGTGTCTTGAAGTTACATGCAACTATATATTTAAAACAAAAAGATAAATTATTAAATTCTTCTAACTCTAAACCGGTCCTAAACCTAACACTACTGATATTCAGAGAATTTGTTAACAGATTGAGCTCTTAAAAATAAAGCAGTGACAATTCAACTTTTTAATGGATGGTTCTTTATAGGGGGGAAAGTTAGACATTTAAAAAAAAAAATTGAAATGATTAAATTGGTAAGAGAAGCAAAATCATTTAAAGTGGTTTAAAATGTGAAATGTGAAATGCTCCACTCTAGAGAAACTTACCAGGCCAGAATTGTTCACAGTGGTGGTGATAGGAACCAGATGTCTGTAGCGTTTAATGCGAAAAGCTCTCGCACAGAAAGGTATTACAAGAAATGGTAAACAATACATTGCCTAATTCCTGATACATTGTTTTACTACTAGTTTTGCAATAAGATTTGGCCTTAATCATTCATCGGGGAGAGATTTGTGCAGCAAAGTAGTAAATAAAAAATATATATTTTTTTTATTTAACATTGTTTTTCCATTGTCAACATTACTTATCGCTGTTTTCAGAACAAAACCTCTCCAAAATGGTAACTTTACAGGAGAAGGAAAAAACTTACTTTACTTTTAATGTAAGTCAGTGGAACCAGACTTTTTTACAAGTCATTTTAGCCAGTTTCTTTTGGGCCATTCATCATGAAATTCACATGCAATTTAAAGGCCAACATGCATTTTTAAATTATGTAAAAAAACCTAAAAAACGACAGAAATGGAGGTTTTGTCCTGACAGCAGCAATATACAACTCGGAAAAGACATCCATGTTCACCGGTTCTTGTGAACAGTAAATAAAAAATGGCTATATTTGTATGGTAGATGTTGTGACCCTGGTTCCTATCTCACATTATCTCGATCTCACAATAAACCACTCAACAAATGACTTTGTTTACATTTCAGCTGTTTAATTTGGCATAACCTTTGGAAAATTGGTGGAATTCCCCATTAAAGATGTGGGAGCATGAAGAACCTCAAAGTTCACAGAATGAGAAAATTCTATACCAATTAAAGGCTTTTTTTTCTAGAACCGTGCATACAAGCCAAGAACCATTTAGGAACACAGTTTTTAGACGTGTGGTCAAAATAAAGTGTGACCGAAATTTAGAACTGAACTTCAGCCGTTTGATCAACTGCCTTACGTTGATGTCTCTGTTCGGTGGAGCGTATAACTCCGCTAAAGTAGGAGATGGGGCAGGAATCCAAACAGACTCCAGGCATGTGATGAGAGGGCATGATGGGCTCATACAGCGCAAAGCTCAGGGCCCAGCATGCTCTCGGCTGCTGACCTGTGATCAGTCTCCGAGGCCTAAATCAGGATCGCAACCGTGAAACTGAGAGTAAAACCTGGTTCTAGATCAGCGTCACCTCCCCATGCTTGCGCTACCCTTATTTAGTGCAGGCTGGGGGAGATAACTAATGCAAAAAAAAAAAAAAAAGTTTGATGGCATCAAAGAGATCACGAACAAAGCTATATTTTTAGCTCTTTTTTTTCTTTGTTTCAGACCCAAGCACTTTTTGAAACGCCTAGCTTTCATATTTTACTCCTATTAAAATTAATCTATTCACTTCCATGTTCCATTTATAAACAATACGGAAGCCAAAGCTTTAAAGTTTGTTTTGGTCTCAGGTTTTTTTTTGTTTTTTTGTTTTTGTCCTGCAGTTTATAATTGTAACATCAAATCAGGTCAGTTTTGAAGTGTAGCCTTTGATTTAAATGATGCGGTTTCACCGTCGCAGGACGGAGCTTAAAAGTGTGTCAGCGTCATACTCAAAAAAAAAAAAAGTGAAAATGATTCTGGTGTGATTCAGTGGCCGGGAAGAGTCGGTATTTAGGCTTTTATATCCAGCCTTTGAAGAGCCTTGTACAGTGGGGCTCTCGCGTGAAACGCAGCGTAACTTCGGATGCGGACGAAGCAATAACGCCCTTTTGTGACTCTTGACACCCAAGACTGCGTTCAAGTCCTGCTTTCAAGTTAAAGCTTTTGAGGTTTGGAAAAGTTTACAGAGGTGGCATTTATGCATTCTCATGCAAGAGTTCAGTTAGGATTATGTAAGTTTATGTAAGTAAAGAAAAAAAAATTGCATAACTTCAAAAGCTTCGGTGCTCTAAGAAGCTTCGGTCTGTTGCGGCGGAGCGTGATATTCAAAGCACATCCATTTTTCTTTGCCTCCTTGCATCTTCAGTGCGCCCCGTCCAGCCTGGCCATAAAAGGCTGTTTCTGATGGCATTACGCGTGTCATAATCCTGACTTGACCTGAGAAGTTCGAGTATAAGAATGCCAGTTTAAGGAGGCAAATCCAGGATACATGTAGAAAAGGCTAATAGTCTTTTATATGGTGCTGAATTGAGAGTTTCATTTGCTTCAATTCTGTGCATTTAGACACAAGTGGGCCACATTTCCGGCCTTCATGGCTCATAAAAAAGCCCAAACTAGCAACACTGCTACCAAGTGTGTGCATTTGTGTGGTGTATATGTGAGCTATAGGCCTCTGGTGACCTTGTAAGGAACTCTAGGTCTAAGCTGGGAAAAAAATGGTGGTTGTGTTTGAAACATCGCACCTGTAGCAAATAAAAATGTTACAAACCCAATATTTCGCTGCTGTCGGAGCAAAACCTCATATCTCCATTTTTGTTGTTTTTCAGTTTTTGACATAATTTGAAAATGCCTGCTGGCCTTTACGCTGTGTGTAAATTTCATAATGAATGGACCAAAAGAAACGGCCTAAAATGACTTGGAAAAGAGTCTGGTTCCATTGACTTACATTAAAAGTAAAGTATGTTTTTTCCTTCTCCTGTAAAGTTACCATTTTGGAGATTCGACAGCAGCGATATGTTGATATGTTGCTCTATGTACATTTTCTCCTAAAATATCACTGCAGCCTCTGAATTATGAGGCCGTTAAGGAGTCCAAATATGAATATTCCTACATACAAGCTAACAGTGCTGTGCATTGAATTGGCATTGTAAGACTGTCAACTTCACCAAAATAGCCCCTGCAAACCAACAAGCTTTGCCAAATGTGGGAGCTAAGTTGCTTTGGCTGTAGTTGGCTACAGTTTGAGTAGCTGGTGTTGTAGAATAGAGGTGCAGTGCAGGATTAGACTTACTTTCATGCAACGTCATTTCAATGTGCAGGAGTGTTAGATTGTTTATAGCATGTATGTAGCATTATTCATATTTTGACTGGTAAATAACCTCATAATTCATAGTATCCAGTGCCTCTAGGGTGAAAAATGTACAATATCTGGTTTGCAAGACATGTTTACCACAGAGTGTGACAGCAGCAATTTTTAAAAAAGGCCACTCATTTTTCTCAGAGAACAAAAACTGCTTATACCTCGAATTCCTAGTACAGGCATGAGTACAGAGTGACTCTCTGAATAGAATAGGACTGAATAGATTCGTGGGGAAGGACTTTTAGATCCTAGGCCCTACATATTGCTGTTGTCGGAACAAATCGTCCATTTTTGTCGTTTTTTCAGTTTTTGACATTTTTGAAAATGCCTGTTGTCCTTTACATTGTAATTTCATGATGAATGGACTAAAAGAAATAACCCAAAATGACATGAAAAAGTCTGGTTCCATTGACTTACATTAAAAGTAAAGAATGTTTTTTACTGCTCCTGTAAAGTTACCATTTTGGAGATACAAGGTTTTTTTCCGACAACACAATATGTTAAAAAGTCCTTACTTTTGAAAAATTTAAGTTCTGAAAGGGTTTTTGGCTTCTAGTAAAAACTTTTTAGTTGGTATAGACCTTTTATATCGTGTTGAGGTGCTTTAAACTTCCGAAATGTTCTTCACACTTGCACAACTCATTTACAACATTGACGCATCTGTTTTTTAGAGCTCCAAAGAGCCCTTTTTGACACCTTTATTTTGAAGAATGCATCTTTCTGGTCATTCAAAATAAGAAAAAATACAGAAAATAACCAGATTTGATGTGCAGAGCTCCATTACCAATAAATAAATTGCATAATGTACAAAAACAGCTGTTTAAGTAAGTTACTAGTCAGATATGTTCATTTTATGTTTGTTTTATTTAATTATGTGTGTAGGTGCAGACACTGGCAAAACTACTTG